GATCTATGGTCACCTTCAGTGACTTCCTCCCCTCCCCCTCATCTCCTTCATGATGGAAGTCATGCTGAGATCATCTCCCATTGGCCTGACCTTTCTCCTGATTCCTGGATCTCCTCCTCATCTCTCCTCCATATCCTCTTACACAGCTTTTCTCCACACCTGCAGTGACCCTGGGGGGAGGAAACTTGGCACCAGCACGCCGCCAAATCCATCCCCACCATTAGGGGCTCTGGAGACAATTGTCTGCTATTTACACTCCGTTCCTCCTCCGCACGTCCACCTGATCACATGACAGCTTACTTCCACAGATTCCGGACAGATTTCTGGATGGTAAAGGTCAAAGGTCACTCTTCAGCTTAGGAGAGGTAGGACGCACCCAGGAATACAAGGATTTGTTTGCATGGGAGCCTCATAATAGAGGACCCCTCAAATGTCTCCCCATCCAAATGTCCCTCCATCCAGAGTCTATCTGTCATAGGATTCTCTCTGACTCTGATGAAGGGACATTAGGAGGAGGAGCTGTGAGGTCAGTGTGATGTCATAGGACATATAGATTAACCTAAAATTATTGGTAGTTGTGATTTATACACAGCATGTTTGTTACAATGAATGTTTTATTATATCTTTCAGAGTGGAATCCTCGGGGATGATAATATTGATGTTAAAGAAGAGTATAAAGAGGAGGATGAGGAGTATGGAGTGATGGAGGAGTTTTCAGAAGGACACAAGGATGTGATGGAGCCACCTAATACCAGGAACCCACCAGAGAGGATGTCCCCGTCCTCTGTATTCCCGGGATTCCACACAGGAAGGTCACACCATCCCTCACCATCATCAGGTAGATGAGGAACAATCACTGATAGTATCATTAGGATCTGTACATTATCTGCATTGTTTACCATTGATGGCATTTTTATTATATATTCAGAGTGGAAACCTGAGAGATCCTAAAGTTGAAGTTAAAGAAGAGATAAAAGAGGAGAAGGATGAGGAGGATGGGGGGATGGAGGAGTCAGAGCTTCTAAAAGAACACAAAGGTCTGTACCAGGACACCATGGTGGAGTCATCCAGCTACAGGAACCCACCAGAGAGATGTCCCCGTCCTCTGTATTCCTGGGATTCCACACAGGAAGGTCACACCATCCCTCACCATCATCAGGTAGATGAGATTGACAACTGAAGTTCTGCTTTATAACAGTTATGTTTGTTACAAATGTTTTATTTATTTCAGAGTGGAATCCTCGGGGATGATAATATTGATGTTAAAGAAGAGTATAAAGAGGAGGATGAGGAGTATGGAGTGATGGAGGAGTTTTCAGAAGGACACAAGGATATGATGGAGCCACCTAATACCAGGGAACCCACCAGAGAGATGTCCCCGTCCTCTGTATTCCCGGGATTCCACACAGGAAGGTCACACCATCCCTCACCATTACAAGGTTGGTGGGATGGAGAATCTAGAACATGGACTTGTGGAGACAATTTGTGGATTTTTCATGTTAGTTTATATTTTTTTACAGATATTATTTTCTCTTTTTATTTTAGGGTGAAGATTTAATAGATATAAAAGTTGAGGTTAAATCAGAAGAAGAAGAGGCGTATGTGAGGGATGATCAGCAGTCTATGGAGGAGGATGGAATAACGGGGACATTTATAGAGGAGGACACTCCTACAGAGATCAGCACAGGTGGGTCATGAACACTAAATCCATTCCTCCACCCATACTGCTCACTGATTGGTCCAGAGTAAGGGCGGGGACTGGGTGATATCAGCCTGTAATCCCCTGGTCACTTTCCTGAGCTGTGTTCCCCGTCCTGTATTCCTGGATTTCTCTCGGATAATCTTCCTTCTCTGTGCTGCAGACACAATTTATGTCTCTAGACTGGATTTATGGAGGTTCTGGGGTTCAGCTAAATATTAATTCATTGCCTCTGCTAAACTAGACACCTGTCAGGACCTGGACCTGAACCCAGGACCTCTACTGTGTCTGGCAGAAACTCTTCTCACTGAGCTACCTGATATAATGGACGGCACTCTGCTTATCCATTGCTGTGTTTTTCTGCTGAGCCTTGAACTCTTTGCTCCTCCCATGAACTTCCTGATTTAAGTCATGTCTCTGCACTTCCTGGTTGGCAGATTTTTGTGCCTTCTCCATCCAATATCTTGCTCTTATCTCTCCTGCTACCGTCTGTAGCTTTGCTATTGACCTTTGTCTTGTTCCTGGACTATGATTCTGCTTCATCCCAACCTGCAGCCACTTGTTACTGACCCTTGGCTTGTTTATTGACTACTACTACTGTGACCTGGTACTAACACACGCAGCAAAACCCATACCCACCATCTGGAGCTCTGGTGATACTGGTTAGTGCTTAGACCCCGCACCTCAGGTGAGCCCATGTCATCTGTCAGGGTGACCTGCCTGTATATCTATCCTGTTGGTTGGTCTTCTGCTATAACTACTGGTCTCTGAGCCTGACCTCTGACCGGCACAGGAAAATCTGACCCAAACATGGAGGCCGCTATAGCAAATACCGTGGCTCCTTTCAGGCAGCAACTTTCAGAACTGCAAGAGTTCGGTGTTACCTACCAAGAAAAATGTTCTGGAAAGTGTGTTAAAGGGGCAACAGGAGGAAATCCATGCTCTGCAAAGACGATTGCTGGACTTATGTTTTCCGCGATGTTGCTAACACAGGCATGCCTCTGTCAGTCAAGTTCAATGGAGACCGACGCCATTACAGAGGTTTCCTTAACCAATGCCACATTTTTTTTCCAGATGCAACCTGCTGCATTTAATTCTGAGAAAAAGAAAGTATTGTTTGTTATAAACCTCCTGACTGAGGAAGCCCTAGCTTGGTCCTCTCCCCATATAGAACATGACTGCATTGAACCAGGACTTTGAGGATCCCAACCATTGTGCTACTGCTGAAACAAAGCTGTATAGTTTACTGCAGGGTAGACGCTCTGTTTCTGAGTACACAGCTGAATTCTGATGATGGAGCTCAGATACCACCTGGAACCCAGCAGCACAAAAGAATCCCATTAATCGTTGAAATTCTGGAAAGACTCCGCACTGCCAAAGTCTTTACAAAACCTGACTTACGGGGGGCATATAACCTTGTATACATTCATCAAGGAGACAAATGGAAAGCCACCTTTACAACCAGATATGGGCACTTCGAGTCCCTAGTTATTCCTTTTGGCCTATGCAACGCTCCCGGGACTTTTCAGCACTTCATCAATGATGTGTTTTGACATCTGTTGGACCAGTTTGTTATTGTATATCTGGATGATATTCTCATCCTTCCCGATAACTTGGAGGATCATCTCAAGCGTGTCTGCACTGTATTCAAAAGATTAAGGAAGAACCGACTTCAAACTGGAGAAATGTGAGTTTGAACAAACCCAGATCCAGGTCTTGGGATTTATTATCTCTTCAGAAGGAGTGAGCATGGATCCCGAGAAGATCAAGGCAGTGGTGGATTGTCCTGTACCTGGAAACGTGAAGGAAATACAATTTGTTGGATTTGCCAACTTACAGGAAATTCATAAGAAACATCTCTAAGGTAATCTCACCAATTACAGAGCTGACAGAAAGGAGTGCCCTTTGTATGGTCACCTGAGGCACACACTGCTTTTAGTAAGCTAAAGTTTATTTTTCATTTCTACACCAATATTGGTACATCCTGATCCTGAACTACTCTCTCTTAATATCTCTCACCTTGACTATTGTAACTCCCTCCTCATTGGCCTACCTCATCGCAGGCTATCCCCTCTTCAGTCTATCATGAATGCTGCTGCCAGACTCATCCACCTTACTAACCATTCTGTATCAGCCACCCCTCTCTGCCAATCCCTCCACTGGCCTCCATTCAGTGTCCTCCACCCTTCTCTGCCAATCCCTCCACTGGCCTCCATTCAGTGTCCTCCACCCCTCTCTGCCAATCCCTCCACTGGCCTCCATTCAGTGTCCTCCACTCCTCTCTGCCAATCCCTCCACTGGCCTCCATTCAGTGTCCTCCACCCCTCTCTGCCAATCCCTCCACTGGCCTCCATTCAGTGTCCTCCACCCCCCCTGCCAATCCCCCTCCACTGGCTTCCATTCAGTGTCCTCCACCCCTCCTGCCAATCCCTCCACTGGCCTCCATTCAGTGTCCTCCACCCCTCTCTGCCAAATCCCTCCACTGGATTCCCATTGCTCAACGAATAAAAGTCAAAATATTAACAGTAACATATAAAGCCATTTATAACTCTGCCCCAAATTACATCACCGATCTTGTCTCCCAAATATCACCCAAACCGTCCTCTCTGCTTCTCCCATGACCTCCTGCTCCTCTGCTGGAGGAGGAGTCAATACCCCAATGACGGTGGTCTTCAGGATCAGTCCAGTCTTCATCTTGGTTGTTCTCCCCCATCCTCACTCTCTGACCTCTGGTGGGGCTCAGCCCCGCTGTTCTTCATGACTAAATCATGGACTAAATAAGGAAGTGCAGTACTTCTTGTGTTGGGAAGATGGCGATGAGTGATAGAGGGGGTGGGGACCCTCGTCCTATAATCCCCTCATCACTGTCCCTCCTATAAAAGACAGTTCTGGTTGTTTCCTCACTCTCTGACTAAGGTCCACGAATAAAGAAATGACCTGGTAGGAGATCAGAGGAGCCATTTCCTAGTTCCCTTGAGGGTGGAATTGTAAGCTCCTCAGATACCAAGCTGCCTGATGTGGGCGGAGTCCTGGTTTGGGGGAACCAATCAGCTCCTGTCTAGTAATCCTCTTTGTCTTTGTATTTTAGTCCATGGCCGGGAGATGAGGAAAACCTCCGAGGATTGTCTCACTTTGTCTCCAGACTGGAAAGTAGAAGATGAGGACATCACACAGTATAGTCCAGGAGAAAACCCGGCACCCTCCAATGTCCATCCGGCACCACCCAGTGTAGATGGACCATCGGATTCCTCGTATCCTGAGGAACCTCAGACTGTGCGGGACCGGGCCGGCCTTCCAACAGGGAAGAGGTTCTCCTGTACTGAGTGCGGGAAAAGTTTCCGTTTTAAATATGATCTCAAGGTGCATAACAGAATTCACACAGGAGAGAAGCCGTATTCCTGTCCTGAGTGTGGGAAATGTTTTTCACAGAAGTCCCATCTTTGTAGACATCAGGGATCTCACACGGGAGAAAAGCCGTATTCTTGTCCGGAGTGTGGGAAATGTTTTTCACGTAGGTCCTATCTTCAAATACATCAGAAGTTTCACAGAGGTGAGAAACCACATTCCTGTCCTGAGTGTGGGAAATGTTTTTCACAAAAGTCTAATCTTTACAAACATCAGAGATCTCACAAGATCAATAAGCCATATACCTGCCCTGAGTGTGGAAAATGTTTTTAAAGATCTCCCATCTTTTCCACACATCAGAGATCTCACGCTGGCAAGAAGCTTTATTCCTGTCCCGAGTGTAGGAAATGTTTTGAACAAAAATCAGAACTTGTTACACATCAGAGGAGTCACATGGGGGAGAAGCCATATGTCTGTTCTGAGTGCGGGAAGTGTTTTCGTGTTCACTCCAAACTTAAGGTGCATAAAAGATCTCACACGGGGGAGAAGCCGTATTCCTGTCCTGAGTGTGGGAAATGTTTTTCACAGAAGTCCAATCTTAACATACATCAGAGATCCCACACAGGGGAGAAGCCATTTTCCTGTTCTGAGTGCGAGAAATGTTTTTCAGATAAGTCCAGCCTTAAAAATCATCAGAGACTACACACAGGTGAAATGCCGTATTCCTGTCCTAGGTGTGGGAAAGGTTTTCTACGAAAATCGGAACTTGTCACACATCTAATGTATCACACAGGGAAAAAGCCATATTCCTGTTCCAAGTGTGGAAAATGTTTTGTACGAAAAACGGTACTTGTCAAACATCAAAGGTCTCATGTATAAATACTGTATTCCTGTCCTGAGTGCGGGAAATGTTTTTCAGATAAGTCCAGTTTTTACAGACATCAGAGATCTCAAATGGGATCTCATAGAGATCTCAAATGTTTTTTCAGACAAGTTCCATCTTTACAAACATCAGAGATCTCACACGGGGGGAGAAGCCACCTTCCTGTCCTGAGTGAGGGAAATGTTCCTCACTGAAGTCCTGTCTTCCTGTACATCAGGGGTCCCACACAACCCTGGAGGTGTATTAGTGCCTTGAGTGCGGGAAATGTCTTCTAGATGAATGTTGCTGGACATCCCAGGAGATCAGAGGTCACCAAAGACATGGATGAAGTGTGGGACCGGGTCGGCCATTGATGGTAGGAGAAGAATAAAAATGGAGTCCTGCTCTGTGATTGGCTGAGTACATTTTGTGGTGGAAGATTTTGTAACCATGTAGGGGTCTAAAAAAAAATAAATCGAGGAACAAATGTGACCAACATTCTGGCTGTTTTTATTTTCTATGAACATTGCCTCCATCTAGTGGCCATAATGTCATTTTCTATAAATAGCCCCCTTACTCTTCCTTGGTCAGACACGGCTTCATCCTCATCCCTGAGATCACACTCCGACACGCATGAGTACAGTAGACTCTGCAGCACACAAGTCAATGACACCAACTATTGATGTAACATGGAAAATACCACACTTGGCCTTTAGATGGCGCTAAGTATAATAGCAATTAGCGCCATCTAGTGGCACATGTGGTATTTTCCATATTAAATCATGGAAAACATTCAAGAAGCAGATCTAATAACATCCATTTTCCCCCCATTCACACAGGAGGAATGGACATGCACTTTCACCAGGTGAATGGTTCTACACATTCTTTATGAATAGACCCCCAAATTTCAGGAGACGTTTCTATAAAGACGGGAAGTATGGAGCAGAGAAATGAATAGACCTCCCAGCAATGTTATTACCAGGCTGCAGCTAGGGGGAGCTCTAATGTCACCCCAGCAGAGGGATCCCATCTAGCCCACATTAACCCTCTCACTGCCAGAGCTGTTTCTGCATGATTTTGCACACATGGGAAAATGCAGATTTTGGTCCTGAAGATGAGATAAACCCCCAAACATCTATTCTGTGACATCAGAGGCCCTGGAGAATAAAATGGTGGTGATTGTTAAGGTGTTCCCCGTACACAGATTCCCCTTCATATCCGCCTTTATTTCCTCCTTTCCCCCATGCAATCAGTAAGGTGGGGGAAGGGGGCCAATTATAAGAACTGTTCTCCTGTCCATCTCTCCCTGCATCCTCTGAAAGTTCCCCCTCTTCTTCCTACTGCCGGCTTTTAGTGGCTGAGGGGAGAGATGGGCCGAGGATCGGTTCTTGTACTTGTACCCCCTCATCCCCCACCACACTGATTGCATGCTACTGTCTGCCATGCGATTTATCCTGTTTTCCAGCCCCCTCTACCCCATCTGCCTCCTCCCAAACGCTGCTTGGCTTTCCCTCCCATCCCTCCTGCCCCTACCACTGGCTGCTACAAGCACACGGGGATGTTTCAGGATGGAGAGTGGGGGAAGGGGTCATTAAATATTTCATTTACAGGCCTCTTCCTTTTCAGAATGAGCGCACTGGCTGTGTCCATCCATAACTGAAGCATACTACATATTATTTCCCTGGTTTCAGCCTATGATTGAACAGGAGTCTGTAGCTGGCCCTGCTCATTCATTCTGCAGTACATCTGAGGATACAGAGAATCGGATTAAGGAATGTTCCCAATCCCTTTCTCCATCTCAGAAGTGAGACATCGGGGGTCTGTTTAGACCCCTAGTGGTTCACAAATGCCCCCAAAAAATATATTGTGAAAAAATTGTAAAAACTTAAAAAAATTCTAACATTTAAAACAATTGAAAAAAAATGTCAAAAACAATTGGGATTCATTTAGATTTGCAGTATTTTTTGTTTCCATAATACATTTTTATTTGGTTTTACAAATATAGTTACAACAACAAAAAAACAAAATTTGTACAGTGAAAAGCGACAAAATATCACAGTCTAGGTGCTGCGTTAAAGTTTAAGAAAGAGAAAAAAAATAAATATTGAATAATTCCTAACAATCCTTCTAGTTCCACGAAATAATCATTTTAGAGTATCCAAGAAAAGGTTAAACATAATATCTGAGGTTCCGGTTCTGAACCCGGTGGACCGGGGAGTCCAAGCTTTGTCAGATTTGGCCATATTTAGGTCTGCTAACGATTTCTCATAGATGAAGTGGGTCTGGACTCGCTCAATGACGTCTTTTAGAGAAGGGGCGGAGTCTTTTTTTTCAGTGTCTAGTAATGGTAAGTCTTGATGCTAGAAGAATATGTGTCACTAGATGGCGTCTAGGCGCATTTCCGAGGGCTAAAGTCTACTTTTCATTGGAATCCATCTGCTTTTAGGTGGCAAAGACATTTACTAAAGAGAGCGTCTAACAAATAGATGTGAAATTGAATTTACTAAATAGGCCCAATCCAGGAATCCGTCTAAGAAAGCAGATGTCCTAGAAGCACGTCTAACAGAACGAACAATCACTGCAGAGACATGTTCACGTTGAAATCTGCTTTCCCAAATATCTGGACTTCACTTTAAATAATATATTCCTTTTAAACAAATTTTTCAGTGGATAAAAAAAGTTTTTTTAAAGGAATTCATGAAAGTCAAGAACTAGACGCTTTTCCAAGGTCTATGGCCGGATATAAACTGAGCATGTGCAGACCACAATTTAGCCGTCTGCCGCGGGCGCTTTCTTTTTAGATGCTGTTCAATAGTAAATCTCTGTGTGGAGTCATCTGACAGGCGGCACTCGATCGCGTCTCCTGTGTGTGCCAACCAGAACGATTTGTAGCCAGGCATATCTTTATGTATTCTCATTTGATTTCCTTAGTTCTATTGATTCTGTTTTTGTTTCTTATCCTTTATAATTATTTCTGTAATGGTTTTACAGATTTCGAAGATCTAGATAATATATATTTTGACAGCTGAATCTAAAAATTAAGGTTGGCAATTAAATAATTAAAACAAAAATGGCATGTGGTCCCCCCTCCCATCCATACCAAGCCCTTTGGGTCTGGTATGGATTTAAAGGGGAAGCCCTACGCCAAAATTGAAAAAAAAAATGGCGTGGAGTCCCCCCAAAATCCATACCAGACCCTTTTCCGAGCATGCAGCCTGGCAGGTCAGGAAAGGGGAGGATGAGCGAGCCCCCCCTCCTAAACCATACCAGGCCACATGCCCTCAACATGGGGGGGTGCTTTGGGGCAAGGAGGGCTCCCCTCCCCAAAGCACCTTGTCCTCATGTTGATGGGGACAAGGGCCCTTTCCCCACATCCCTGGCCAGTGGTTGTGGGGGGGTCTGTGGTGGGGGGCTTATCGGAATTTGGAAGCCCCCTTTAGCAAGAGGGCTCCCAGATCCCGCCCCCCCCCACTAGTTGAATGAGTATGGTATACATGGTACCCCTACACATTCATAAAAAAACAAAACATGTAATGTGTGAAAAAGACAGGAGTCTGTCTCTGACAAGTCCTTTATTAAAAGAAGAAAACAAAAAGAATGTCCCCCCCGCAGTAGATCCAACGTAAATCACAATGCCCACCAACACCTGAGAAAAACGATTAAAAACAGGCTCTGCTCCCGACGATGGCTTCCAGGCGTCTGCTTCTGAGGTGGCTTGACAGTTCTTTAATATATAAGGGGGCGGGGCCACCCAGGTCATGCATGAGACCCCACCCCATGTGACATCATTAGCAACATAAGGGAATACGCCCTGAAAGCCTGGAGGTGCTTATTGGATTTTGGAGTCCTGTGTGTAGCTAGACAGCCAAAACGTCTCACACATGTGGTACCCCCATACTCGGGAGAAGTAGCAGAATGTGTTTTGGGGTGTAATTCCACATATATCCATGGCTTGTGTGAGAAATATATCATTTAAATGACAACTTTGTATAAAAAAAGGAAATTTTTTTTGCCAATTTTAAAAACTTGTGACAAAAAAATAAAATCTTCCATGGACTGAACATTTCTCAGAAAATTCCTTGTGGTGTCTACTTTCCAAAAAGGGGTCATTTGGGGGTCTTTGTACTGCAATGATATTTTAGCACCTCAAGAAATGTGATGAGCAGTCAGAAAGTAAAAGCTGTAAATTCCATTATCTATCCCATAGTCTGTAGACGCTATAACTATCACACAAAACCAATCAATATACACTTTTTGGGATTTTGTTTTTACCGAGACATGGAGCAGAATACAATTTGGCCTAAATTTATGAAGAAATTTTAGTTTATTGGATATTTTTTATAACAGAAAATATAGTTTTTTTTGTAATGTTGGTCTTTTTTTCATTTATATGGAACACACCCAGTGCTGAGCAAATACCACTAAAAGAAAGCTTTATTTGTGTGAAGAAGGATATAAATATTGTTTGGGTAAAGCGTTGCATGACCGAGCAATTACCAGGTGAAATGTGCAGTGCTGAATAGTAAAATCGGCCTGGTCATGAATGGGGGAAACCTTCCACAGCTGATTGGATCCACAGAACAGAACAATCTATAGCTGATCATACACTGTTAGTTCTTTTGTTCAGATTTCTCCTTCCACACAAACAAGGTGAACGGAGGAATCCCTCCCGCTGGGAATACACTGATTGGTGGCTGCAGACGCTGATTGACAAACGTTTCCCATCATATCCCTGAGACAGAAACAACCAACGTTTGTTGTAGGAGAACAGCACACACATGGAGCGGAATGTATTATTATTATACAGGGATTTATATAGAGCCAACAGTTTGCTCATCACTTTACATACAATATGAGGGCAGACAGGACAATTCCAATACAATTCATTACAGGAGGAATCAGGGGGCCGGCTCGTTACAGCTTACAATCTAAAATGGAGGGTAACCTGATACAAAAGGTAATAGTTGTGGGGTATGGGCTAATGGAGAAAATAAAAGTACAGATATTAGGTGGGGGC